TTTTGTTATTTACTTGCATCCTTATTTCCCTCTTAGATGTTTCTTTTCTCTGGACCTCATCTCTGCAGTCACATTATACCTCATGTGGGTTTATTAGAGACATGGTCCACTCTGAAGCTGGTTGTCTGTAAGGGATTTATTAATCAGCTGCTTTTCATTCAGCAACCAGCTGCTTTTTATTAGAGAATAAAATTTTCAGACTGCTAGTCTGCATTCAGGTTCAAACTTTGTTCCAAGGACAAGGGTGTGTTTGGTAACAGAGGGGCCCATCTTGGAGATGTTCCTCAAATAGAGAGGGATCCTCAGGTGATCCATGACTTTATTTTAGAAACTACAGGAAACCCGAAAAGGCTGTTTTCTAAAAGAAAAATCTAAAAATGTAGAGTCTTGCTGTGTCTCTCCCTCCCTCCCTACACACACACACACACACACACACACACAAGCTCAGCCGTCACCTTTCTTAGAAACTGAGCTCCGAAGCAGTAATTTTTATCAGCTGAGATTACATGCGCCTTTGCTTTATTTGAAATCCTTCTTTCTGAGTCTCTACACATAGAGATTTGTCTAAGGCTTTCCTTCTCCTGTTCCAGAAGTTTCTCAGCACTCTACAGTTTGTGCTGTCTAACATCGGGGGAAATATCTTGGGAGGAAAATGAAAATCGAGCTAATAGTCAAAAAGTGCTTAGAGGGGTGGGGATGCAGCTCAGCAGTAGAGCTTTGCCTGGTAGGCACAGGCCCTGGATGGCACTGCGCATGTTCACCGGCGAGCACGTGCTTGTAAATAACCTGTATGCCTCTTGAAGAGAAGCTCGTTTGTTTCAAAGAAACACAACTCAAAGCAGAAGGTATCACAAGGAGATTAAATTTTAATAGCTAATGGGGGGGGGGGAGAGAGAGAGAGAGAGAGAGAAAGTCTTCCTATCAGGCAAGCACTGTACCACTGAGCCACATTCCCAGTCCAGAAGCCTTTCTTCCTTTCTCTCTCTTTCTTTTCTTTTTTCTTTCTTTCTTTTATTTGTTGTTGTAGATGGATACAGTACCTTTATTTTATTTATTTATTTTTATGTGCTGTTGCGGATGGAACCCAGTGCCTTACATGTGCTAGGCAAGTGCTCTACCACTGAGCTACAACCCCAGCTCAGAAGCCTTTCTTTCAATCGTAACAAATGACAATTTTTTTTTGATGACTGACATCCAAAATCAATTACTGTGTGTGTGTGTGTGTGTGTGTGTGTGTTGGGGGGAAGAATTTGGCCTGAAAACCTGGATAACATTGATTAAGATTATCACCACTTTAACTCTTAGTTTCTTTCATTCATTCAGTAATAATTACTTGTTGATTTTCTAACACAGAACAGGCACTGCCTTGCATGCTGGGGATACAGTGGAGAACAAGATCCATTCCCTGCCATCTTGGAATTTAGAGCCTTGCAAGGGAGGAAAAGTGATGATGTTGGTATGCCCTCACCATACTAGTCCAGTTACCAGACAGTGGCCTGGAATGAGGATCTTTGGGCTATGCTCCCACCAAACCACCAGACCTTGAGACAAAAATTTCCATATTTTGCAAATCATTGTTTTTTTCAAAGTAAGATTCCATTCTGCATATTATTTTATAAACTACAATTGTTTTTTAGCCATCATATATTGAAAACATTGTTTTTCACATCATTCCATGTTCTTCTGTGACCTCCTTTCTAGAGCTTACATCGTGTACTCTGTAGTGTGGACATATGATATATTTACTTAGGTAACCCACTTTTTATCAAACGCTCAGTTGCTGCTTACTACAAAGACCAGTTTTGCCTTTAATTTTTAAATGTCTCTGCTTGAGTAGTTCAAACCCCACGGAGGTCAGGGCTTTACGTGACAGTCTGAGGAACCAAGAAATCTGAAGGCCACTTTTACCTGGACTAACCAAGTTAACATTTGCTCCTTCTATTTCCCCTTTGGCAAAGTAATAATCATAAGCCTCACACTTTCCATAGCCCTAAGGGGGGTTCCTAAGTTTTCAGGGACTCTTAAGGCAAAGTGTGTTGAATAATGTAGAAGTGAAGATGTGGGGCTCCTTACCTGGGAGGCTGGGTCTCCCTTTCCTGCTTCAGGAACAGAATCTTGGCTTTTCTTCCTTCTTTCTCTACGTTCTCTCCTCTTTACTTCTGCCCCAAATTGACAATCCAAAGCACTAGTTGCCCAAGTCTTATCCTATTGAGAAAGTGTTCTTGGCTTGTTAGTAATTGTGGCTGTAGCCTCAGCCACAAGGAAGCACTCCTCCAACCCCAAATGTGGGTCTGTTCCAGCCTTCCACCCTGGCAAAGAAAGCCATTCAAAGGGCTAGAGAATATCAGACCCTGAGGGACCACAGAGATGCTCTGGTCTCCTATTACCTTTCCCCCTCCATTTTAAAGAAAGACAGTGATTCACCTGACATCATTGGGCTAATGGCAGAGATGGAATAAGAGGCTGTGCCAGGAGGCCAGGTGGTAGGATGATTAAGCACATGACTTTGGGGACAGATTGCCTGAGGAAATCCTATCTCTACCATTTCTGAGCAATGTGACCTTCTGCAATTTTTTTAACATGCTCAGGTCTCAGTTTCTTTATCCGTAATATTGAAATGATATATAACACCAACAGCTGTAAATGGGATACTGTATAAAACTGTAATTCTTCAGTAAACCTTAGCCATTATCATGGTAACCAAGGTTTTTCTGCAATAGAATTGACCCTAGTTCAAGGCAGAGTCCTGTCAACCTGATGCTCCAGTTGGAAAACACACCTTTTGAGAACAAAGGATGGTTTTGATGTGAATGGTGGCTTTGCCAGCAACCCACAGAAAGATTAGTCTTCCACTGTGGACAACTGTAAGTAGATTTGCATTGGAGACACCTCGCAAATTAATCTGCTTTCTGGTCACCTCTTGCTAAGCACCACTCAGGTGACATTTGTGGGGGAAGAGTGGAGCAAGCTTCATTGGTCTGAGGGAGAAATGTAACCACAGTGCCAAAGAAAATTAACATGGCACAACCTAAGCAACCTGATTGTCATCAGAATGTAGACGATTTAGAGATTTTAGGTCTGAGGAGTCCCCTTTTCTTCTTAGATTATCCCTGACATCCTATCAATTTTTTTTTTCTCTTACATATTCAACTTAAAATTTTCTTGGAATTAAGAATATTTAGGATTGTTTTTAAAACATAGGTTTAATTTTTTAAGGTCTATTGTCCTGGTTGCAGAAAGGAAGAAATCCCAATGAGATGGATTGATCTATCAATCAGTCAATCTATCTATCATCTCTCTCACACACACACACATACACACACACACACACACATTTTTAAAGGTAACCAGCTTAATTTAGCTTCAGTTGTAGGCATCACTGCCAAGTTGCCAAGTTGACCTATCAGATGGCAAAACTACATCCCAGGCACAGCTCACTTAAGGACAAGCATGATGACAGGACATCTGGGAGGGGACAAGGAAGTCTGGACTCCAAAGATGGAGACCAGAAACTCCCTCAAAGCTGGGCAGGAAAATGAAAAACTCCTTTTTGGGGGACAGATTCGTCAAGCCCCCCACCCCCTGCTTTTTAAATAAGAATGGGGAATAGTTTGTGTTCTTTAAGAAAGATTTGTTTTATTTATCAGAAGAAAATTTTTAAGATGAAGCCTGGCCTAGTGTCTCAGCTCACTGAAGGGGCTTCACAGCTGGATGTGGTGTAGGATTGTGTATGAGTCACAGGCAGAACCACAACAGGGTTCACAAATGCAGGCCAAAGTTAAATCATCCAGTGGGTTCTACTTTCTTTTCTCCTCCTCTTCCTTCCCACCCTTTCCTCTTCCTTTTTTTCATGAAATCAACTTATATGAAGTGACTCAAATGAAAAACTACCAGACCTGCCTTTTCCCACATAAAACAAAATTGGATGATTGGTTGATTGCTTTTTAACAAGTGCAATGCTTTGACTTCAAAAAAATTAATTTCCCCTATCTTCGTAATTAGAGGAGAGAAATGTATTTTTTTTCTAGCGTGACTTTGCATGTGTATTCAGGAAAACCTCAAGTTGTATTGCATTTTTTAATATTCTCAGTAGCTAACCAAGTTGTGGCCTAAGCCCAAGCCTTAATTAGTGCTGGTTGATATTTAGTCCTGGCTGAACGTGCTCACAGCTCATCCTCAGGAATAAGCCTGTGTGGGTTGCTTTTCATCTTGTAGGAAATACTTGTCAATACCCCAGTACCCTGAGAGAATGAAATGAGCAATGGGGGAGCCTTGCTGTATTCTGCAAAAGGAAACAAGAACAAGTCCCTTCACCAGTATAAACTGATTTGTCCCAGAGAAGGCAGCAAGGCTATCTTCTAAGCCCTTTTTGTTGTAGAAGGGGCATCCACCCTACACAGGCTGCAAACATATTTGGGAGTGTGGAAACACTTATGCACTTACACACACAGTTCTGGAGCCAAAGTCAAGGCTCAGTATTAATGACCTGTACACAGGTGTTATGGGCAGCTGCAGAGTTAATATGTACAGCCATGGTGTGTTCACCTGTACAGGCTCACTTCTGTGGTGAACACACAGGCTCCCCTGAAAGATGATGTTGTTGGAATGTTTCCCTTTTTATTTTTTATTTTTTGTCTGAAGTCAAATATTCACTCTGTCAGATCACCACTATCTTATAAGCCCAGTGTTGGCCCTCACTGCTGCAGGACTGGGACAAAGAGATGATGTTACAGTCTGGTTTCTATGGCAACAGAGGAGGGGTAATGAAAACTGAAATGTTGGAAACACCCATTCTGACAATTGTGACATAATTCAGGTTATTACAAGGACGTAACTACCAAAGAAGCAGAAGTGTCATTACCTTGCAGCTCGTGTCGACAAAAAGCTACATTGCACATTTCTCTTAGTTGGGCTGCTAAGAGGAAGGAAACATGAAACACACACACGCACACACACAGGCCTCGTTTTCTGCATGTAAAATGTGTGTGTTCTTTAAAAGCCAGTGGTTGGCTGGTTTTCCGGACATGATGTGGTTGAAGCTGTCATCGTAATGGAAATTCATTGCTGTAGCTATGGTAAATCGAGTGTTCTGCCTGTGCTGAATGCATTAGTCTAATGAGATGTTTGCAGCCGGAGAGCAGGGCTGCTGGAGACTTACTGTGAGCTACTAGCACACGGGTGGAAGACAGCTTTTGCAATACTCGGTTCCCATGTGCCGAAAGTCATCTGTCTTCTGAGTCAACACTCCCGGCCTGGTCAACACCCTGATCAGGGCTCTGGTGAACAAGCTGTAGGTAAGGGAGATGCACAATTGGAGGGTGTGTCGTTGACACGGGATCCTTCTCTTCTAGCTGTCAGCACGACAGAAGACCTATTCTAGTTTTTCTGGGTTGCAAGCCTGCCTATGGCAATGCACGGTGTCCTGCACTAAAACCACTGAGTCCAGCAGGTAAACTTCAGTTCCTCCTATTCAAAATACAATGTTTGCTTTCTTAACCAGGACCCAGGAAGAAAGATGTGGCATAGAACTATACAGTTTATAAATTTTGGATATATACACATTCACTACGTTTTAACTCTGCATTTAAATACATAGAAAGTTATTTTTATTCCAAATGTGAACTCAAATAACTGGCTAGCTTTTTTTTCTGCAATAATTTTTCTTTTCTCTGCTTTTTTAATTAAAAAAATTATAGTGTGTCCTGAGATTAAAATATCTACCTAAAATTTGATTATTAAAATTGGTGTACTACGAACAGTCAAAGTGTTGTTTTTAAATTGATTTTTATCTTGAACATCCCGGATGGAATATTCCGCGTTGTCTTTGTGTTGGTTTTTCCTAATCTACCAGTCACAGATGAGAATAGTGTTTATTGCTGGTTGCTGGTTTTAATCCAGATGACTGTGGAGTGTTAGAGATAGTTTTCCCAAGTTCAAGTACAAAGTCATCTCCTTCCCAGGTGGAGCACTATGTGATCTGAACTGGTCTCCATATGTTCCCTCTGGAGCCTGAGATGTCCTCTCTGTGTCTCTTGCTGGCAGGACAGGACCTGCCGGGGAGCGTAAGGTGCGGCTGCAGAGTAAATCATTTTACCAGAAACTGATGTGTTTGATCAAAGTTTTCTCCACTATCTGTGACAGTAAATGAGAGTGGTTGGTCTTGTTACCTCTGGATTCTATGACAGTTCTCCAAAGGATTAGAAAATCAGCTTTCTGAGAAAGAGGCTTTTTAGTTGTCTCAGGCACTGTGGTTCTTGAGAAAGTCATCCAAGCGCTTCAGAATTGAGGTGTTTGTTGTGCACTGTTTTTTCTTCCTTTCCTACCACAGAAACAATTTTTGAAGAGTTAGGGACATAAGTTGCTTTCTTTTCTTGAGACTGTTTTTTGAAGATAGAATATATGGAATAAAATCATAAAAGTATAAAAAATATAAAGGCACTCATAGAGCAGTATTTGCGTGGGACTCATTTTGTGTTGCTTGGTAGAACTATCTTGAAAACAGGGATTGTTTGAATAGTACCGAGTGATTGTCAAAACTCAAAATGTTAATATAGAACCCCTGTTTTAGAGAAGTTGTTTGGTGGCTTCAAAATCTACCTTTTAAACACATTTGTGACATATTTTTAAAAAATATAAATGCATTTTCTTTAACTCTTTAAATTGTGCATGTGGAGGAACTCTGTGTTCGGTTTGATAAATTGATCAGTCTGTTTGATTTATGGGATTATTTTTAAAAGTGAAGATCCCACAAAAACTCCGTTCTTTTATGTGTGACATGTTTAAATTTCTCTCCCTGTGGCACCCAAATTACTTTTTATTTTGTTGCAAAAGAGAGAAAGCCAAAGAACAGTAATAACAAGACAAAAATACAATAAAAGAAACAAAAGTGCATTGCTTTCTGTAGGGTGTTTGCTTTTGGTGGTGTGTTTTCGCCCAGCGAAACCAGCTAAGCAGTTTCACTTTCTGGTGCTGGGTCCCCGGGTGGGGGTCGCTGCTCGCCTCTAGCAGCAGGTAAGCTGAGCTGATCAGCTGCTGGGAAATGAGCCAGATACAGTGACCCTGCCCTCAGAACTTATGGCATGAAAATTCAAAAAAGTGATGACTATTAAAATGTTCAATAAGATTTGCAAATGACCAAAAAAAAAAAAAATCAGGCAATACTCCGAAAGGATAAGGACAGAAATTTTAAATTTTTAAAAACTCTTAAGAATGGGAAAAATCACAAACAGATTGCTTCAAACCTCTTCTAATGTGGTGGCTTTTATTTAATTTCATTTCTAGATCTCAATTACTTCAATAAGTTTAAGGAAACATAACTGAAGTTCTCTGAAATCATAATAAGAAATGCTCAGACAGGAATAACCTTTACATTGTAAATCTGGGGAGTTAAAGTTTAGAACATTTCATAGGTCTGTTGACAATTTTGCAAGACCCCAGGGCACATGACACACACCTACGTGCATCCCTTGTGACTTTTGGACGGAGGTGGTGGGTAAAGCTCAGAGCTTCAGAATTCCAAGTACCTCCAGTTTACTTCTCCCACTGATCCCTGAAATTTTATTTGGGGGTGGAGGGAGAAAGGAAATGAAGAAAGACCCTCTTGCAATCTGATCATCAAGAAACGTAAATTCTAGCCTAATGTTTTTGGGGATGGTGTTTGTGAAAGCAGTCTCCTTGGTTGTGAGCACACAAGCTTCTTTCTATTGGTGGGCAAATTTGACATTTCTAAGAAGGAGCTTTTAAAAAATGCATCCTCAGACATCTTATTTCTTAACTCTGCCATCTCCTGAAAGGCTAGTTTGAGATTTACACGTTTTTTATTTTATTTTTTCCTTCTAAGACAGACGACAGGTAAGGAGGGACCAGGGGGATTTGAAACACTCTTGGGAGAAAAATCAAATACTTTGGTACAAATATAATGTAACAGAAGCCACCAGGGTGTCTAGTAAATTACCCTAAATTTTAATTAATGAGTCACAAAAGCTACACCACAAGCTTTAAAAATTACCCCTTTATCAATAAGGTGATAATTAACTTTCTCTGGAATTAGCAATTCTCTGAGCCTCGGGCAGTATGCAGCCTGGCAAGTTTTCTGGAATGCTGCCAATTTTTAACAATTGGTCCTTTGGCAAACCCACTGGATTTTAATTCAAACATCTATTCTGACATTTCCCAATGTGGTTCAAAGACCATTGAAATCACCCAAATCACGGTAAAATTTCTGAGCTCAAAAGAGTAGCTCAGAATATTTGATTTGCATTTGAATCTGTCACTTTCTTTCTTCATTTTTCCTTTTCTACCTTTTCTCTGAAAACCTCTGCATCTGCAGGAGCGCAGCACCCTGGTCCCTGCTATAAATCTCAGCTGTAAATCGCTGTGGTGAATCCTGTGTTTGTTGGTGCGCCCACACCAGGTCCGGTGCCCTGGCTGCCAGCCCACGGGGTGCTAAGTGTTTTCCATTGTTGCCGCATTCATCTCATTTTCAGCTCTGGCAAGGACTTGTTCCCTCATATTTCTGCAAACGCTCACTCGTGGTTTGTCAGATGCCGAGATTTAGATTGAGAGTCGGAGAAGAGGAGCTGTGGGTGGGAGGGCCATTTTAGATGTGTCCAGTTGGTTTGGAATTGAGTTTACCCTGATTTACACCAAGTAATGTCTGAAGAGGCATTTCAGAGCAGTCTGTGCCATACAGACCTTTTAGACAGACAGACAGATACACGCACACAGCTTTCCAGTGCTGCTGGTCACTGGTGGGCAGCCCTGAGGGGCAGCCCCATGGCCCCAGTGGCTGGCAGACAAGTGGTAAGGGATGCAAATCACCCTTCCAGAAGTCACTGGATTCTTCAAGCGTTAGTCTTGCGGGGCTCCCGCTTCTCTCAGCCAAGACAGGACGGGATACTAGTGACAAGGCTTCCTGCTGGGTTAGGCGGGCAGTTCTGACAGAGGCATGAACCAAGAATGTTCCTGCCTTCAGGCTGGTGGGGTAGAGACCAGCAGCAAGCAGCACTCCTGCATTCTGGAATAAATCAGTGCTTGCAATCAGGAGGGTCCCTTTGCCATCACTGAGGAGATAAAACACCTCTATTGCTTCTTGGGATGATTGCTTCTTGGGCTACTGTTTGAAAGCAGAAAGGAATCTATCACCCTGTGGCAGTCCTCACTTTATATTAAGCTGAAAAGTCATTCCACTGAGTCTGTGTGACACCCTGGAGTCATGGGAGTATATTCTCAGATCCACATGGCAGACTGCCCTGAGATTACTATGGTTTGTACCAGTTACATCAATTAAGTTTTATGTAGAATCCAGGGATGTGAAACTATATATTCTCCTCTTTCCTCCCCCAGCTCAGGCACACTCTACCTAAATTTTTGTTTGTGGAGGGGCAGGTGTGCTTTTTTTTTCTTTCTGGCAGCTGCAGTTATTGATCAGAACTTGGTCCCACCCTTATTGATTTCCGAGAATGATTGCACCTTCCTGCAGCCAGGTGCCATCTGCCTTTGAGGAAGGCTGAGGAGTGAGCGGTCTTGCTTTCTCCAGAATGCACACAACACAGAAGCAGAGGAATGGAGTTGGCTGTCATGAGAACATTAATGTGCCAGGGAAAAATAGTGTCAGTGCTGTATTTTGAAAGACGGTGATGTTGTCTGCTTGGCTCTGTGATGGTGACTCAACTTTTGAGAGCTGAATATTTGGTAACAAAAACCTTTGCCCCTTTTCTCTTCCTGTGCTGATTATTATAGACCCCAAAGCCCTCATTCTTCCAAGTCAGAAACAGATGGCTTGGAAGTAATATTAAAGAAATGGGCAGCCTTTTGTTAAGGTAGGTAGTAAACTTGGGGACAAATGCTGAGCTGGGCAAAGCAAAGAATTGGACTTAGACCCTCCAATTGAGTCTAAGTCCAGGAGGGAAAATGGCACCAAACAAAGAGGTACTGTAATAAAACCCAGTAGAGGGACCTAGTCCTTCTCCTTTCCAATGAGGATTTGACAGTTCCTCTCCTTCGCATATCTGCAGGTGCGCTTTAGAAAAGATTCAATAATAGCTAACAAGAGCACATGGCTCTCAACTTCTAGATCTATGGATCCTTTTCTTTGGGCATTGAAGGAAATATTTCCTCCTTTTCCTTCATCTTTTATCCATAGGTTATTCTGGGACATTATTGCTATGATGAGAAAACCAGGGTTGAATACCAGGAGTGTGTTTTTCCTTGGTGGCCAGAGCCAGGCCCTGAGCCCTCTCACCAGCCCAGTGTGTTCTCTGAGGGCTATGTCTGAGGTTCTGCCTTGGATACA